GCCTACTTTAATAATGAATATGAATCAATCGACTATCTATGTTCGAAAATAAATTCTATTTAAGTATAGTTTTATACCTGATTTCAAATTTGTTTACCTAAATAAATTCATACAAAGGTCAGTTCATTCATTAAATTTTCATAGCTACAGAAGTAATAAAATGCATGAATCGAATATGATTTATGACTTATAATTTTTAAGGATTTCTGTTTTCAGAATTGGTACAGTAGACATATTGATTAAAAAGAACAGTGAAAGCTGCAAAATGATCAATATTTTATCTGTGCGCACGTTAACTATCGTTATAGTAATCAACTCTTGGCCGTCTATACTTTCATATAGTGTAATCAATTGGAATGGAAATACTTGGGCCATGTCTTGTGATTTCTATGGAAATGATCTTTCTAATGTTCGAATTTCAGGAGAAGGTTGCGGTGGAAAATGTGCCGAAACTCAAGGATGTACTCATTTTACGTGGACTCAATGGAATGGAGGCACTTGTTGGATGAAAAAAGGTCCAGTCTCCAAGGCCAATGCATTTCCAACAAATGATCCACACATGGTCTGTGGTGTAATCTCTGAATCACAACCATCCACGTGAGTAATTACTCATAGAATTCTTCACAACTCTGTGTGCATATATCCTCTACGAATTAAGTATAAATCCGAAAAAATTGCTCTAAGAATTATAGTGAAAGAAAATTGTTTAGCATACAGTCCTAGAAGAGCATGTTTTAAAGCGTTCTCTTAATATATTGAGCAGTTTTAAAAATTGAAATACATGATTATAATAACAAACTCATACATTCAATTGATTGTGTTCGACTTTAATATAGTCACCTATGGATGCATAATCATGTATTAATATTCGTACATGATTGAATTTCAGTAGAAGTAGATTCATATTACTTTTGCGATAAATAAGCCCTAAATAAAATAGATCGATCTTCAGTTGTTGTATTCATTAAGATTTGAAAAATATACTTATCGTTTACTCGCTACTAGTTATCCTCTTCGAGGTTAAGTAGTTTGAGAAAAGAAACACTTATATATGGTGTTTTATTGATGAATTTCTTTTCAGTGGCAATATAATCAACATTATAAATCGCGGTTCACAATCAATAAAAGTTGGTTTCTTTAAAAATTTGGGCTCATATCAACCATCATTCGTGGCAGAAAAAATTGTTACTATTCTGCCGGGTGCAACTGTAACCGTTTCATTAGCAAATGGATGGGAAGGTCGTTTACAGAAATTGACCGGGGCACCGGCT